CCAGTATAAATACTGGTCCACACCCACTGTTTTTGACATTTCATAATCCATTACTTCAAAAAGTTGTCTCGTGATGTAAGAAGCCCAAAAAATGAAGCCTTTGAAACTCATATTTTTAGTATATTTTAGTAAAAATTAATGAAATATATAATTAAAAAATTAGTAAAAATTATGAAATAAATAAAATATGTGATTAAAATTAATTAATGATTTTCATATTAATTTTTATTAAATTCTTTTAACTAAACCAAATAGCAGTGAAACTCAATATTTGACTATGCTTAAAACCGATTTAGGGTAAAAAATTTTAGTTAATGGCGTTAATTAGGGAAATTTAGAATGACAAACTTCAAGTCTAAATTCTTCATCACTTTGAATGAATCTATTACGATTTCCATTTTATCTCGAGGAAATTAACAAATGTATCTTACTAAATAATCGTTCAGGTCTGTTATTACGGCTCTCTTTGTGAGGAGACACCTTTATTTCAAAGTTACGGAGCTATATTGTCAAGTTGTTATAGAGTGCTGTATTCCGTTCTTACATATTCTCTACTTATCCACTTGTATCACTTTTGAGTGCATATATCTTCTTTAAAGGTCGTCATATGGATTACTTAAGCCGTAGTACTTGGTGCTTGAACATTGACTTGAGATATAGTCTCTACCCCTTTCTTACCATATATTTTTTTTTATATTCGTTTGATTTTATTTTACATGAAAATTGTCAATTAAAGGGATAGAATTAACTGTTGGAGATGAAATTTGTTTCCATTGCAAAAAAAAAAAAAAAAAATAAGAAAATCATCGATCTTTTGGTGTTCGTTTGGCTTTGTTTTATATGATTTTTTTTTTTTTTTTTAAATATATAAAAATTTTTAAAAAAAAAAAAAAAAAAAAAAAAAAAAAAAAAAAAAAAAAAAAGATACATATATGCTACAATAACCGGGAAAATCAATTCCAACCATATTGGTGGTCCCTAAAAAGCTAGAAAAGTCCAAAGTCCATAAAAATATGGAACTTGAATTCCATGACAAAAAAATCATATCAAACACTTGAAAGTGAGAAAATGGATGGAAAAGATTTGCCAATCAAACATGGCCTAAGTTCTATATGGCAAAGGGGCGGAGCAGTACCCTTATACACCGCGTCATAGATTTTTGAGGGTAGGATTAAAATATATCTAATTATTGCTCTTTAAATTAATTAATTATTATTTTAATATTATTTTTAACTTTCTTAAAATTGAAAATCATAAAAATAAAATAAAAAGATTCCAGACGGGTTTGAAAACTCGGATCATGTTACCTATCCCTATCCTAATCAGCATTCGAGGTGAGGATTCTCCATTCCTTCGAGGCGAGACAATACGTGAGAGAGAATTTTGCCATTCTTTGCTCTCGCAAACATCTTACTAGACTACTTGATTTTTTCCTCGAATTCTTTGAATTTACTAAACCTCTCCCAAGAAGAAAGTCAAATTGAGAACCATTCATGTTTTCACCATCATAGAGCAAAATAAACATTAGGGTCGTGCTATATGTACCCGGATGTGACACGCCCCTCAAAGTAGGGGGGCCGCACTTTTTTTTTATTCGGTGCAGACCTCCTTGTGAGGGCGTGTCAACACCGGGGTACACATAGCAAAATGTTAAACATTAATGAAATGCTTGATAAAATAGATTGAATAGTATTGAACAATATTAGCAAAAATTAAAAAAAAAATTAAATTTTTTTTAAAAAAAAAGTATATATTCCTGTACAAGTGTGGGGACGACGGTGAGAAAAAAGTATCACAACTAGAGGCAACAAGGAGGTGAAAACGGTACAAATATTTGAAGATGGAATAAGCTAAGGTTACAATTGTAGTATCTGTCAATGGGAAAATCGATAGGCTTTTAGTTCAACACAAAGTCTCTCCTAACCAAATCCTTTGTGTATGTATGGATGCAATTTTGGCTGTCACTCTGAAGACAGTGATAGGAGACGGTGGAGTGGGGTGGTGTGGGAGTGTCAAGTCAACTCAAACATTAATTTCTCAGTTGCCTATGCATTATTGAGCCAATGAAATTTTACTCTCCACATTTGTAATTTAACTGAAATTAAAATTAAAATTAAAATTTTAATTGAAGTTAAAGTCAATAATTAATTTTAATTACATTTTATAGAACTCACAATTTTTCAAACACATATTTTATCGACTTTTATCAAAATATACTAAAAATCTAATTTTAATTTCCATCAAATAAAGGCTTAATTTTGAACATTGAAACATTTTCTATGAACTTGAGCGCTTTAATATCGCAATGGTCAATGTAGTTTCGGTGTACTCATCGAACTTTAATTATTAGTGACATACTTTAAAATTGTTTTCCATCACTGGTCTTTAAAATTTTTCTGAATAGTCATTGTACATACTTATAGCGTTGTTTTTCATCCGTAACTCAGTGGAATTGTTAATTTTCAAATGGAAGGAGACTAGAAGACAAGGTTAGTAGTATAATGATTATTTTGAATAATTTTAAAGTTTAATGACTATTGATAAACATAATTAAAAATATAGTGACGATTGAAATTTTTAACCCGAATTTGGGGATTGGAGTCTCGGTAATCCATAGCAGTGTTAATTTCAAAAGCTGATGCCTATCCTGCATTTTCAAAGGACAATTGACGAGCTAAGATTGGTACAAACCCTATAAGGCCATACTATATCCAGTCCCCACTCAAGATTGAGAGGATGAAAGGACTATCATCGATCAAAATCATTTTCTCTGTCTTGTCAACCGCTAATGTCTATGTGATCAATAGGCCATAAAAATTTAAAATTATCTATGTGCTAATTCAATATCTCGATTTGTTGATGCAAATTTTTCAATTTCTTTGAGTTAATTTGTTAAAGCTACCACTCGTAGATATAGTTGTGCTAACTCACCGCGTCAATTGTTTTTGCCATTTGAGTTTCCCGAACAAACCATTTCCTCAATGTCCAGATCAAGAACATATTTGTGCATCGATACAAAATTGATGCATCTGATTATGCAGAATGATTTTAAGATTTAGATCAATATAAACTAAGTCCCTGATTGATGCCCATTTTTTTTCAAAATGCATTTTTCTATTTCTTCTTTTTAATCACACATTCTTTATTAAAATAATATTGCACGTAAACCAAAAACTTTTCCTTATTTTTCAATCACACACTTCCCATCAAATTACTATTCTAAAATGCATTTTTACATAAAAATGGCTCTCAAACACCTCCTAAATCTAGAAAAAAAGACACCATACCAAATTCTTTTTTTTTTAACGTACAAAAGACGATGGACACATGAAAAAATCACCGTGTAATAATTGCACACCTTTTTCGATCTGATATTTTGAATGGATTAACCACAGTAACAAAATAAGGTAGAAATTGAGATTGATTTTGTTCAAGGCATGCAAGTAAAGCATGTGCTAATGAAATGAGGTACCGGGACCAGCTGGCTCAGATGGACACCCTATAGCCAAGCATTGAAGTACTCAGTTGCACTCCTTAAATTGTGTCATCTACATTTTGCTTCATAATTGAAACAATTTTTTTTTTTTTGCAATACTGATTACCCCTCGTGTAACTTATAACCTTCCAAAACTCGAGGTCTGCATGACATATTTAGTATGTTCGACTAAAAAAGGAGGCATGTAATTTCATATGTTACCCTATCAAATCCCAGTATCAGAATCTTCATACGAATTTTGGAAGTGTATCTGTCATCACACAGCTATACATATTACCAGAAGAACACGATGGGCCTGTATTCGTATAGTCTTTGCTGGCTTCTGAACATCATTCCCATTCTATTGCATAAATGGACCAATGTGCATTAACTCAATTTTGACACCATGTGTATGCAACAAAAATTCACGCTTACCAAGCAGAAACTTTACTGGTCAAGAAAAAAAGACAAACGCTACTAGCCAATGAAGACCTTTATGAGACAAAAATAAAGTCAAAACCTTGAGGATGAAATATTTTATTGAATTTTTTTTCATTTACCTACCATTATATTTTAGCAGTAAGTTTTACTGACTTTAAGAAATGTTTGATAAAGCATTGGCTATGACTTGACTCAATACGATAAAACAACATTTTAGCTTCGTTATGAAACGTGCAGTTGATGAGTTACTTGCCCAGTATAAAACTAACAAGCAGCATACTATGCTACTTTTCTTGTTCTGAACTTGTGGTTATTGTTTTAGAAGAATGTGCAAGATGGCTCATTATGAATATTATACCCTCCACCTTACCGAACACATCAAATGTGAAATCTTGTCAAGTGTAGAACCAACCAGCAGCATACTAAGTTATTTTTTTCATGTTCTGAAGAATGTGTAAACTATGCTCGTCCATTTTTATTTTTATTTTTTAATAACTCAGGTGTCTAAGCTTCGCCTGACTAATCTTAAGGAGTGGCGGCCTTCCCCCCGGGTTCACCACCCAGGTAACTCCGGATGCGATCATAGCGTATACACATATGGACCGGATATTCGGGATACAATTCTCCTCCTGTAGACCTCCCTTTACAATATGGGGACAGAACTTCCGGAGGAGTAACAAAGCGCACTATGACTTTGCCTCCACAAGACAAGTATCTTCCAACATAAATGTTTCCTTCTAGCTGCCGCAAAAATTCGAACCTCCGATGCTTCGTATAGAACCCTCCCGCTTTACCATTTTGCCATGCCCGTGGGGCTAAACTGTGCTCATTCTTGTTCTGACATAAATTTGCCTAGTATCACAACAGAATTTACAACTTGAAAAAAATTAGAACAGATGTTAAGCCTTTTTACCCCCACAAGTACTCTCTCTCTCTCTCTCTCTCTCACACACACACAGAATGACGAAGACAACTGGCTGGTTTTATTCTGCTCGACAAAAATATAAAAATAAGGCAAAATAAAAAGGGAAGGACAAAATTAGTATAGGATTTGAGTGTAATTTGTTTGGCTTCATATCATTCCAGAGTCTCTTCTTATAAATAGCAGACAACAAAGAGAAACCAACTTGCTAAAACTATCCCTCTCTCTCACTCTCTTTACTATAATCCTGCATTCAAGAATTCGTTCTTTCGTTTCCAAGTGCAGAAAACCTGAGAATGAATATATCGAATTCTGAATGCAGCAGCGGATGTGAGTCAGGATGGACTATGTACTTGGATCAACTTTCCAATTCGACGAATCATTACAACAGGGCTGGGGATGTCTATGATGATCAAGATGATGAAAACCTGTCTATGGTGTCTGATGCATCTTCAGGGCCTCCACAATTTGAAGACAACTGTGAAAACTATGCGTCCGATGAACAGAAAAAGAATGGCAATCATAAAAAGAAAATGACACAGAAAAGAGGAAAGCAACAAAGTTTGTATCTTGATGATACTGCTAGCTCCCCTATGTTTCGATTCTCCAAGGCAAGTTCAATGAAACAGCATTTAACTCTGTTTTATTTGCATTGATATTAATGTTTGCTTCAAATTTCAGGATAATGTAGCTTATTCTCATATTCACACTTCATTGGAACATGTTCCTGGTTTCTCACAAGGCCCTTCCGTACCAGATTTTGGGGTACTAATGCTACTTCTTTCTGAAATCAAGTTTTTTCGGCTAATTTTTTCCAGGCTTTTTCTTTGAACGGTTAATTTCTCAATGTACAATCTCTTGCAGGGTGACTCAATTACAAAGAAACATTTTGGTTTCTTCAAATCATCAGCTGAAAGGAAAAAAGCATCTGGAAAATTGAGTGAGTTGGTATTGTGACAGCTACAGTTCACAGGAAAATTTTGTTTCCAGGACTAATTTCGTTGCACGTGTGTGTTGGCAGGCAATTTTCCAGGAAAAAAGAAGCAGTAACAAGTGGAAAGAGTAGATTCTCAGCTGCTGCAATATGTTAGAAAGAGAAAAATAATGGGGGAAGTAAAGGAAATATGGCATCATAATTCAGAATATGATGTTTGTATCTCTTTTATTTGTTTATTCAATGTTTCCAACTGTTATTTATTCCTGTCCATGTAGTAGGGAACAACCTAAGAACAAAAAATGTTAAAAAATAAAATTATTAGAATTTCTTTCTTCGTCAATTGTCGTTTACATTGTTCATCTATTGATGTTCATAAATGAAAAGAGCAAGATGGAACAATACACTTTCCTGTAATTCTAACTTGCACCAGCTGTATCGGTAGTTGAGCTAAACAAGATCGACTAAGAGTGACAACGTAAAAAAATTTGTCAATTATCAGTTCTATCTACCGAGTTCAATGTACGTAATATGCCATAATTGTTTCCTAGTGACTGTTTACCTTGTGAAAGAGAGATGGCACAATGGTGAAACTACACTTTGTTGCTATCCAATACAAGCTTCGATTCGTTGTCTCAAAACTAGTTTCATTAATTGTATCTTTAACACATTATACTCCTCGACACATCTTTTCTTAGCAAATGAGAAGACGCCAACATATATTTTGACACCTTGGCTTCAATCCATTTCTAAGAAGAGGTGATGTTCTGATGTGTCAAAATATAATTGAGGGAATAGCAAGTTCGGGACAACACACTCAATTCAGCTACTACGTACATAACTCTTATCAGTCATGCCGTTCAATTCATTTCTATATCTACTTAAAGATCTAAAACAATTAGATCCTTAACAACTACTAGACACTATCCATATAAACACGAAAAACGAGATAGGGCCATGAGCCATGTACAAGGGCAATGAGTGAACCCCATTGTTCTACTTGCAGAAACTGCAAATTAAATGAGGTGGAGTAAGGTAAATAAATCTGGTAAAATAATGTAATGTCAACTCAAATCAACAATAGGCTTAGAAAAACACGAGTCACTACATTCCTCCCTTTTTGTCCTATAAGAAATCTTCAAAGGACGTCTCACTGGTTATGACAACTACATTCAGATAGTGTGATCCCCATAAATAGTCTTGATTCCATTGTTGAATTTGTTCTGATTGAATTCTTCCAAATGTGTAACCAAGTCCTTGCCATCCTTAGAATTCGAAGGCCACATCTTGAGGAAGGAGAGAAATTTTAGGGAAAGGACAACACTTCCCAGTTACATATGTGTTGTCACTCCTAACAATCTCTTCTTTCTTAAAATCTAATAATTGAGAATAATATCAGGGTTTAATTCATCAGAGAACTCTTACTTTGTAATTAAATGATAATGGATAAAAGATATCAACTCCGCAGAGACTTTTCCTTTCAATGAGGGTCAAGGTGGTACGAGAGCAGTTTAGACATTATGAGTTCAAGTTCTGCTGCCTACCATTGTTATGGTTAAAAATGGAAATACAAACCAGTAAATAAGAGTTTTGGCTACTCTTCTTAATATGATTTCCTTTTAAGACGCAACTCAAGACTAGCATACAATTCGATATGTCTAAAGTTTAAACGAGCATTTGAATTTCAACACAGATATGCTCAAACAAGCCATCTAAAGTTCAAACGATCATTTGGATTTAAAGATCAATGTGCTAAGCTACCATTTGGCGATGTTAATGGTAATATTCCACATATGATAAAAATGGAACTAATATCTAACATTAAGAGTTTGTGTTACTCCTCTTAATAAAACTTAGATGAAAGTCCAGTACTTGACCCCCGCTTATAAAAAAAATATGCATGTGGCCAGTCTTAGAATTTATTTATGTACTAGAGTACACATGTTGGTGACATTTAAATTATAACTATAGTATTTAAATACTATAATAAATAAAAATTTAATTATTATAATATATTGCAATCATCGAGTGCGGTCCAATTTCATTACTTAACATTCTATAAGTGGGCACACAATGAATAGTTTGTGCAGCACAGAGGTTCACATAATGGTGTGCTGATCACAGTAATTGGAATTTTTTTCTATTGATTTGCATGCTTTGGGGTCAAACTTTTATCCCAATATTGATTGAAATATTTGTCCACATTATGTTAAAAAAACACAAGAGTTGAGCCTCGCGATTGCTTCCACTTTATTGTTTGTCATTCAATCACCAACTATTGAATAAATACATGCCCACACGTGCACTACAAATGATTCACAAAATCATGTTAAACAAATAATTCAATGCAAAATTACAAATACACCACTATGAAACGTCATAAAGTTTTATAGGTTTTAATGCACTCGTTTTTAAAAGATGGTTTAAAAGTCTTTAAAATTATGCATATACGTGTTCTGAATGATTATTGAACTTTAAACTATCAATATTCAATCTTCTAACTGACGAGGACATCTATTATTATTTATTTGTAGTTGGACATTTCGAGTTAGACTTTATTTTTGTTTCTTATTTACGTAATTGGACTTATATTGGCTCAAATCCGTTTTAGTTAGGGTTTTGTTTTACTATTTAAATATAACTTGTCATGTAATTTCGTTTTAATTGATGAATGAATAAAACTTTTGGTGACTTGTAATGAAATTTCTCTCTTCTTTCTTTCTTCTTTTTCTGTTGAATCTTCTTCTTCCTCATTCTCCTCCTTAATTCCCTCTTCCTTATAGATATGTTTATTTCTCCATTAGTTGTCCAATTGGTGCTGCATCACTAACTCGATAAAATACCTTGTTAATCGTGCTAATCACTGAAGTAAAGAGCATTCAAAAACTTACTGCACAATTGGTTTAGCCAATAATATAGCTATATGTGGAGATGATCATGAACGTTAATGGTTCATAAAAATCATGGATAACTCCTCCAAACAAGTCTGGATCAACTAAAATTGACATGATCAAACAAGACAACAAATTTGTAGACAAAACATAAAGAGAACCATCGATTTTGAAAATAATGGGTATAGTTATTCTACATATATATAATATGTGCCAAATCAATCTTGCTATTAGTTTGGACTCAAAATAGTAATTCTTTTTTATTTCTTTTCATAATTGAATTTTCACATAAATATTACAAGTATTTACATCAAAGTAAAGAAGTGAACTAAATATAGGTATCAAAGTTGAGCAACAACTTCAGCACTTGAAAAAAAAATAAAACACCCAAGTTCAAGCCCTTAAATCCGCACGTACGTCAAGGAAGGGAATCTTTCAACAAAACATTATTGACTATTGATTGACGTGTGAGCTTATCCAACACCAAAGTGTGCCACAATTCTAAAGACTAGATATGAAAGAGAAAGGTGAATGTTTCTTTTGAACTCAAAACTCGTAGAAAATCTGTCAAGAATAAGACTTCCTAAATTTTCTTGCCAAATTCTACGATCCTAAGCTGATGCGTATACATTACCTCTTTGACATTTTTCCTAATCGCTAAAAATCTCGACTATTAATTGACAGCCGTAGAACGAGAATCCATGTCCACATCCAAAAACTGTAGCATGTACACTTCTGCTTTTTTGGGCAAGACTAGTCGGATCTAAAGATACAAAAAGAACCGATGTAAATGGGTCTCAACCCGTACACAAGCATATTGAACCCGTTTTCCAGAAAAACTGTAAGGGCTTTAATAAAATGTTCTAAGAAACCCGAAAAGCAAGCATAATTATGCAATCACATTGTTTACTAGCCAAAGAACTGAATCATATTGGTAACAATGATACTACTAAAACTGATATGGCATGTACAATATTAAAGAGTTGCTTCAACAGTACAATTTCCACCATCTAATCAAATTCAGCACTTACCATTACAATAATCCTTCCAAGAACTCCATAATCCAGCTGACAGTTGTTGATTGAGTCTTTCTTGGCCTGAAGAGGCCAAATGAAAGGATTAAGACCACGGGTGAACAAAAGCATTCTTTCACATTAGTAGGGATGACAATTCGAACTATCGAAATCGAAAACCACGGTTAACCGAACTGAATGGGGCAAAAAAAAAAAAAAAAACCCCAACTGATGGCGCAATGGAGGGGATATGGTATTTGATTTTAATCCCCGGTTCAGGACAGGACGGGTATGATATTTACTCCATCGCCCCGTCTCGAACTGATTACCCATTAAAAAAATTAATTGGGCAATTAGACTTTTCATTATTCTTTCCATAATTCTATCCAGCCCAAAATTTTGGTCAATTGTTGATTCGATAAGTCCAACTAACCTAACCCAGTAATCCTACACCCTATTACATAAATGTTAAACATATATGAAAATTGTTTGTTAAATTTGGAATTGCATTTGGGAATTGGGATATTGTTTGCTAAATTGACTTAGTATTGTGTTTTTGTTTTCATTGATTTTTTATTTTTCATAAATTGCTTTTATTTCCAATTTGACGGCTAGACCTAAAAAATACTTTATTTTTCGTTGTTATTAAAAAATACCAAACCATTGCCAACCCTACACATTAGGAGAGCGATAACCTAATCCGTTTTCGCAGTACATACAAAAAATTCATTTTGGGAACTCCATAGCCATCAAATTACACCAGATATCTCAGAAACGACGTCACATTCAAGGAATGAACACATGGAGAAGGTCAAGGAAAAGCTGAAGGCAAATCCAAGGACATGATATAACCCCTCATTCTTCAACAAAATAGGCCAGTACTATGCCGGAGTAATTTTAACTTTTCATTGATTACTAAAGTACAAATAATTTCTCCAGTAGCAAACAAGTCCTTCCTGCAAACTAATACTTTGTATACTTCAAATGCATTTCGTACTGAAACTATATAATTGGGTATTCACCTAAACAAATCAAATTTACCACCAAAAATTGCAACATATGGCAAACGCAATTCACATACACATTTACTAGTAAGAAGTTAACTACTTTGATAGAAAAGACTAGAAGAATAAGGCAAATAAAATCAGATGCTGATATAGGCAAAATACAGTGGCAGAAACAACAACAAGGCTGCAGCATTAAACATCAAAGTTCTCAAACATGTTGACAGCGTGAGCACATCTCACAATTTTTGAAAAAAGCATTTGCTTGTTAAACGTAAATGTTAGAAGACATCTCGAACAGCCTTTAAACAAAAGGGTACCTGCACCCATAATAGACAAAAGTGGATAGATAGAAAATATCTAGAGCGCGAGACAACTCTTTCTAAGGAACTTGGCAAAATAGCCCAGTAACTTCAAGAGAAGGGGTGAAGACAACAAAATAAATGTAGAAATAAAATTAATTTGACACTCATATAACTATCAAAAGATTCATTACACAATATGATCAAGATTGAAACTAACCCTACCACACCCTCCCAAAAAAAAATAAAAAATAAAAAAATGGCCAAGCAAAACAAAAAGGAATTAGTGTAGAGCAAAAAGGATGAAAGGCAACATTTGGAACCTTCCATTTGGGCTGAAAAATGCCCAACTGTGATAAGTGGGTTATGACCCAAAAATATGCTGCGAATAGGCAGCTGGGTGTTTAAAATTCTTAACTACTTGCATCCAAGGGTTGTCATGGCCAAGAGAGAATTTTGAGAAACATGTTCTACAAATAAAACAGGATCTCTGAAAGCACAAAATTCGAAGTTCTTTCTACCACCATCTTCATCGACTGGCATCCAAAAGTCGAGCAAGCACATAGCCCTGGAACATAAGTATTCACAAGATGTTATTTTTGTTATGGAAAGATTGTATGCATTGATAGAACAGTTGTTGCAAACACATCAAGTAGCAAGAATACAAGCAATGCATTAAATGGAAGTATTATTCGAATCAATTTTCCAATGATTCAAATGGAAAGGAAGGACTGTCAAAGAGAAAGAAAGTCACAACCACGACGAACTTCTTTTACACAGCATTTAAATCTTTAGAAGTTAATAACAATCTCTAACTATTAATAGGCCTCATGAACCCACTTCATTCCAACCCCTTGCGCATGCACACAAAATAATAATAATTACTATTTATTGTACTTATTACAAATTAAGCTTAAATACTTCCTTTTTAATGCTGGTCATGTAGAAATAATTATTTCTAACCAAAGTTTAGACCATCAAACACAACATTTTCGAGTCCTTTAGCATATGCATATATGGATAATTATGTGAAGACGTTACAACAAAATAAAGAATATGGAACCTATAACCATTCAATTCCAATTATTCCACGATCAATCAGTCACTCTATTGTTACAACCACAAAAATAGTTTTTTGTACAAGTACATGTCAAAAAATAGCTTCATGCAAAAGTACCAAAACTTTCTTATTATATATATGTCTTCACAGAATTCTCATTATAAAACTCTGGACTAATATCTCTAATAATTAAACTCTTAACCTTAATATCTCTTGAAAACTTAAAATCAAGTCAGACTTTATGATATGGTCCAGTGGCAGCACTTCATACACTACAAAAAAAAAAAAAAAAAAATTGGTTCCAGCGACCACATAAATTGGTCGCTAAAGGGTGGTTTTTGGTAGCTAAAAACCTTTAGCAACCACAGAACTGGCTAGTCGCTAATAGACCGTCGACGAAGGGTTCCAATGACCAAATACATGTGGTGGCTAAACATATAACTAATAGCAACCAACTTTTGGTCACCAAAGGGTTCACTTCTGGTCGCTAGTAAAAGTGGAAAATTGGTTGATTAATATTTTCTTGCAACCAGAGTGGTTGGTAATGCCTTTAGCAACCAAATAAGCGTGGTCACTAGCTGGTCGGTAATACACCGTCGGTGAAGGTTTCAAGTGACCAAATACGTGTGGTCACTGGTAGTTGACATCCAGCGACCAAATTATGGTCGGTGAAACTTAAGGTCAATAACGACCAATGTTGTGGTCAATGGTAGATTTTACACGCTTTTGCAACTAATGTTTGGTTGGTGAACATTGATACCAATCTTTTAATAGCCAATAGTTTTTATTCCTACTAATATTTTATCCAATATCTCAATTTTCAAAAACCACAAAGATAGTTGAAAATAACA